GATTCCATGGACAGCCATGTTCACGGGCCCATTTCAGTATTTCCAAATGTCCACCCCAAGCAGCATTTGTACAAGTGTTGGCGTTCCATGGGCAGCCATTTTCACGCAACCACTTCAATATACATTAAGATGCCCAACCCTGTGCAATACACGGCTCTTAGCCTTATTCGCGACTCGATCCTAGATAGGGTTTTGAGTTCGAACTCATGACTGAGTCTTTCGTGAATAGTCATTTGAAAGGGTTCTCAATGACGGCTACAATCTACGGCTCTTAGCCTTATTCGCGGCTTCGTCCTAGATAGGGTTGAAGTTCGACCATGACTGAGTCTCGTGAATAGTCCATATGAGACAGGGTTCTCATGGACCGCTCTAGTCATACTAAATTCGATGGTGAAACATCGGCTAGATATTTAGCTGGCCTGGAGAGATTCCACGCTACTAGATAATGCTAGACGAATCTTCCACGTTTTCCGTTTTTGGATCGTGGAGTGAGTAGTATTGCTTCCGCAACCTACTCTATCACACTATTTACAGTCTCCGCGGGAAGTTCCAGATCTACGATCCTTTGATTGTGGATCTCTCCAGTTGATTAGTTTTCATAGAACAAACTTGTACAACTGCGGCTTGGAGTGGACATTTGGAAATACTGAAATGGGCCAGAGACAATGGTTGTCCATGGGATGCCGATACTTGTAGATATGCTGCTCTTGGCGGACATTTTGAAATACTGAAATGGGCCCGTGAAAATGGCTGCCCCTGGAATGAATATACTTGTGTATATGCTGCTGGAGGCGGCCATTTGGAAATACTGAAATGGGCCCGTGAACAGGGCTGTCCATGGAATGCAATGACGATCAGTCTAGCTAGAGATTGTGGTCAGTACCATGTTTTGGATTGGGCCCTTGCAAATGGATGTCCTGAATAAAAAGGAGGTAGACCAAGTTGGATTTCTTTGTGAGCTGAAGATGCGTTGATGGGCAAATCAGACTGCTGTATGGCTCTCCAATCGCTGATGCATACATGTAGCTGCTAGCTAGCTAGGACGGTACATCTGATTCGAACTATTTATTGTTAATATCATTATTGGCTACGCTAGTGCCATGATACCACTATGGCCTACCGGTAGTGCTACTGGTACGTATGGAAGACTGTTGGGTTGTTCCCAGCTCTCGTTTTTTGGGTGCTTTTGTTGTCGCCGCACAGTATCCCCCCGGATGCCTCGTGTATGGTACAGTAGCTGCGGGGCTCTGCAGCTTCCGAACAGGAAAGGTGGTCTTGGGCGGTTGAAGCGCGGATCATACTCACTGGATCTTTTTGGCCCGAACACCGAAAGATCCAAGACTTCATTCCTGCTTGGCTTCACTCCACCAAGAAAGGCCATATTTTGCTTTTCCAAGTCTTCTTCTTGCTTTCTTTCTTTCTTTCTTTGGTCCATGATGAATTCGGTGGCCTTCCATGCCACCCATCTCTACTACGGCACCACCCTGAGTGGTCTGGATGAACACAACCTATCGGCTATAAATTCAGAGCCCTTGACGAATGGCGAAGGCAGTAATAAGGCAAAGGCAACTCCCGGAAGAGAGGTTTTCACGCTTCCGCAAAACAACAATAATGACAACCAAAAATGGACCGCCGTCTACGTCTACAGCGACGTGGCGGCATGGATTCCGGCTGCGTTGGTGAAACAAGAAGGAACCAATGCGTGGGTGATGGTTCCCAATTTTCCCAATGAACAGAGCATGATGCAAGTGGACGAAAAATGGAAGAAGAATGCTCTGACCGAAATGATTGACACGAGTGGGTACGAGAATGGGATCTTGCCACTCCAAAATGTAGATCAGCACAAAGGTCATCTCTGTGAATGGGGTGACATGGTAGGATTGCCCTATCTTCACGAGGCTGCCATTCTGTACAATCTCAAAAAACGACATTTGGAGGAAAAACCCTACACCAGAACAGGTATGTGGGCGAATGCAATGGAAGCTGCATTTATTTCAATACGATCAATATTCACTCACCCTTTCTTCTTTTTGTTTTGTTTTTAATTGCCCAGGCGATATTATGATTGCACTGAATCCGTATCAGTGGCTGACTGAACTCTATACCAACGAAACCAGAATGCTCTATGCCCAAGAATTGATTTGGAACGTTTCCGACAAGGATCCCCGCGAACACCTCGAACCCCACGTTTACGAAGTAGCGGCGCTCTCGTACAAGGGTATGGCCGTGGATGGACTGGATCAATCCGTGCTGGTGTCGGGAGAGTCGGGAGCCGGAAAAACTGAAACGGTAAAATTGTGCATGAACTTTGTGGCCAGTGTGCATGACACTACGACTGCTGCTGCAAGCGGGACCAATAATACCATTGTGCAACGCATTCTTGATTCGGCACCCATGCTGGAAGCCTTTGGGAATGCCAAAACGCGACGCAATGACAATTCCAGTCGCTTTGGCAAGTACACACAATTGCAATTGGATCGGTCATTCTCCTTTGCACAGGCATCGGCGCAATTGGCCGGAAGCAAAAATGAAGTCTACCTGTTGGAAAAGAATCGAGTCGTAAGTCATGCGACGGAAGAACGAACCTTTCACATATTTTATCAACTACTGGCGGCACCCGACACGGTCAAGCAATCCATTTGGGAGGGTCTGGTCGGTACAACCAACGAGTCCTTTGCCTACGTGGGCCCCACCACCTGCGATTCCATTGAAGGAAAGACGGACGGCGAGCGATTTGAATTGGTCACAAAAGCGTTGAACTTGCTCGGCATTCAAGGAGGCTCCTTTGTCACATTGATGCGATGCATTTCCATTGTCCTTCAATTGGGCAATATTGGATTCCAACCACTTCCGGACAATGAAGATGCCGCTCAAATTGCAACAATACCCGAATTCGAGGCATTGGCCGAACTCATGGGAATTTCACAGGAGGATTTGACGGCTGCCTTGACCAAACGAACCTTTTTGGCCCGAGGCGAACTCATGACCGTATTGCTCAAGGCGGATCAAGCCAAAGATAGCTGTCATGCCCTCGCAAAGGAAATCTACGGCCAAGCGTTCCTGTGGCTCGTCAAAGAAATTAATGCGGCTACCTGCGCCGAAAACAACTACAAGCCAGACGGTGGAGCTCCTTCTTCCTTTGGAATCATTGGCTTGTTGGATATCTTTGGTTTTGAGTCCTTTGACACCAATCAATTCGAACAGATTTGCATCAACTATGCAAACGAAAAACTACAACAAAAGTTCACAGAGGATATCTTCAGATCAGTGCAAAAGGAATATGAAGAAGAAGGTCTCAACTTGGCGGATATTGCCTATGACGACAACTCTGCCATTCTCAAGTTGATTGAAGGGAGAGGAGGGATTCTGGACCTGCTCAACGAAGAGTGCATGCTACCCAAGTCCAACCCGATCAATTTTACAAAGAAAGTCAGGACGCAACTCTCGTCATCACCTCATCTCGACATGACACCTTTAGACCACGTGACCTTTCGAATCAAACACTATGCCGGACCCGTGGAGTACCTGACAGAGAACTTCATCGAGCTGAATCGAGACAGTCTTCCGGCCGATCTCAAACGATGCGCATCCAGTTCTACCAACGCCATTATTGCTCAAGAATTCAAGGAGCCGCAAGAAACGAGGGATGAGCTGGAAGGGAGCATGCAGCGAACAAACCCGAAACGGGCGAAGAGTGGCATGACCAACGAGACTTTGAGCTCGAGATACCGCACTCAACTGTCGGACTTGATGAAGGATCTGAGGAAGACACAGTCCAGATACATTCGCTGCATCAAACCCAACACGTTGAAGAAGGCCAAGACTCTGGAGCATCAGACCACGGTGGAGCAACTCCGCTATGCTGGAATCATTGCAGGAATCACCATTTCCAGGTCAGCATTCCCCAACAGACTACCGAATACAACGGTTTTGGCCCGGTACAAGACAATGTGGGATAAGAAAAAGTTCCCGTCCAGTTCCCAAATCAATGACTCTGATGACGAAAAGCGTCGCGCAGATTGCATTGCGATGCTGACGGGACTGTTGGAGCACATGACGACAAGAGACAAGAGCGGAAAGGAAGTGAAAGCATTCGTCGCCGGCAAAACCAAGACGTACTTTCGCGGTGGAGCGCTAGAGTTCCTGCAGTCACAGAGACTGAATGCGTTTGATTCCTTGGCAGCGACAATTCAAACTGCAGTCCGAGCTTGGATCATTCGCCAACGTTACAAGGCACGACGACAACGAGCTGCCGAGTTCCGACGCGAGATGAAAGTGTACTATGATGAAATTGCTGCTTTGAAGGCACAATTGCAAGAGGAACCTGCCGAGGAATTGGCCGCACTCAAGGAGCGCGCTCTGAAGGCGCAGACCGACACGAAGGACTTGAAGCGCAAGATTGACATCACCGAAAAGAGTGAAGCCATGAAAATCCAGCAGGAGTATGCTGTCGTGCGCAAGGCGCTGGACGAAAAGCAGGCAGAAGAAGATAGATTGAGGAAGTTGAACCAGCACATTGATTCGGCTTGTCAAGAATTAGAAAAGAAAGCGGAAAAGCTACGAAGTGAGAACAAAAAATTGGAATCCGAGAAGGAAGAAAAGAAGGAACAGACCAAGACGGCCAAGGCTGGCAGCAAGAACTACAACAGGATGCGGCAAGATTTGGCTCGAATCGAAAGAGAGAACAAAGACATGGAACGTGAACTGAAGAAAAAGAAACTGCAGCATATGCAGGCAGAGAAGCAGAGATTCGATGTGCGAACTGGCCTTCTCAAGCTTTTCAATTTCATTGGTTCGGAGTGCAAGGACGAGGCTTTAGTGGATGAAGTCTTGACCCTTGGCCGCTCCCTGGGCGAAAAAACCCAGGCGCTGGTGGGCAGTCTGCCCGAGAAATCTCTACTTCGGTAGGTCCTACCCTCTTGGTTGTCTTACCGGTATCCCATTTCTAGATTCTTAGCTAGTTAAAACCAGTATGGCATATGATTAGAACCACCCACAAAAGCACCGATACTGTCGTGGTCTAATCTGGATTATTAACTGATTCAATCAGCAGGCTCCGCCTGTACAGTAAGGATCAAGGGACCACGGACCCAAGTGCTCACTTGCTTCTGTTGTACCGGTACGACGCTTTGGCTGATCTGTCAGATGCGGTTGAAAAGGAGGCACCATGCACCGAGGCACTTGATTGTTGTCGTGTTGAACCAATGACTATTGGACACAGCAGCTCGTTCGTTCATTCTGACGCAAAGTCTTCACTTCTCAACCGGTCCTTGTTTCGGTATAGCTCTATTTGAAAGGCTGCCCCCTCCAACAGGCCATTCACTTGTTTGTCGCGTTGGTCCAGACACTCCAGCCTCCCACCCATGCTTTCCACCAGCGCTCTTGCTAGTCCCAGTCCCAATCCAGTTCCCAATACCCAGGAACTGACAGATGAACTGCGGTAACCACGTTGAAACACAGCTTCTGCCTCTTCTGGAAGAATCCCAGGCCCATTGTCTTCAACCAGGATTGTGACCCCTGGAGGATCATCATTTCCCTTGAGATGGACCCTTACTATGGGTTCCTCATTATTATTAGTATTATGATTTCGTTCTGGATGATTGTTGTCGTTAATTGTTTTGGTAACGGCCACGTACTTGAATGCATTGTCCACAATGTTGCTGAAAGCTTCCTTGAGTGATTTGGGCCGGACAAACACACCTGGAAGTTCCTCCGCATCCTCGAGTCCCAGCACTTGAAAGGAGATTCCCCTCTCGCCCCCAATCACCTTGTAGGCGTTCAAGGTTGGACCCAAAACGTCTGCCACAAACCCAATTTCGAGACCGTCATTGCCCACAATGGAAGCTGATGATGCACTCTCCGAGTTGGTAGTGGTTGTTGTGGGACGATTGTTGTTGTTTCTGCGAGAATTGCCCCGTTCAAAATGAGTCACCTCTCCCATCATGTGCTTTTGCCGGAATGCCTTTTTTCGTCTCGCTCCACTTGGTTTTCTCCGGGAAAACTCCTCCACTGTCGAGTTTCGACTACTTCTCCTGTTGCTACTAGAGAATTCCAGTGTCTGCGGATTGATACTCTTGGATCGTTGAGGAGGCGCAGCAGCATTCGATGCTGATTCTCCTCGACTTCGTGCAAACTCCAATGTATCAATCTCCCAGGGGATTGCGGGTGGCGTTGTCTCGGTTTGATTCCACAACACCAAGGCTGTATCTTCATCCGGACGAGCCGGATTGAGATACAGCAATGGCGTATTATTCTCTTCCATCGACTCGACGATCCGATCCATGGGAGCCAACAAATTGACGACTCGGTCACTCTGTTCCACCAAATTCGCCGTCAAATCGAGCAATTGTCGTATGGTCCCGACACCGTTGGTGGCTGCAATTTCATTTTGCTCGGCCACACGTTGCTGCAATAGTTTGCCAAAGGTCCGTAGGGCTTGCAAGGGATTCTTGACTTGATGAAGGCTATTCGATAGCGCATCTTGGACTCGTTTGTTTTCCAAGGCCAAACTGCTCCGTTCGGTATCCATGGAAAGTGCCATAGAGAGTGTTTGTGCGGCTCGTATAATTTGTGCTCGATCTTCCTCACTCCATACTTGTTTGTTCTTGTTGTTGGTTTTGTTGTTGGTGGAAGAAGAAGAAGAAGTAGTAGTAGTAGTTGAAACAATGGCAGGAGACACCAACAGCACACCAACAGTTTGAGATCCCATGAACAAAGGCACCGACAAGGCGGGTGCTCCCGATTGGACATCGCACAGAACTTCTTCGGCGACTCCCACTCCTGCAATATTAGACGAAACCATGGGATAGCGCGGCAGTAAGGAATCGGGAGCGGCAAATCCCGGCAATTTGGTCAATAGCCGTGGCAATCGAGCGGCGACACCGGAATCAGCTTCAGACGCAATAAAGACTCGTTCCCTGCTGGGATGTGGATAAATGACAGCCGGCAAGAATTCCAATTGACCCGTGTTGGAATTTTCTTGTGGCAAGTAGAGTGCCATGGAACCAATTTTACTGCTCTTGTTACTGTTACTGTTACTGTCTGTTGTTTGTACTACCAAGGAATTGGCCAACAGTTCCAATTGGGACAAGGCCAATTGCTGGAACAGATCCGACGGCATGGCGGGAAGAGGACGACTGCCTTCCACATTATTGTTCAGAGAAGAACAAAGTTTTGTATGATGACAGTGAACATCATTGTGTCTTTCTGGAAAGAAACATTTGGAGGAAGGGCTCGACAAGAAAGCTTTGGCATGGATGGAAAGGATCCCCAAAACAGTGGCGAGAAGGTATCCACTATTGAAACAGCATGGCAGACTGTGTCTCCTCATTGCAATCCTCTCTTGGATACATGCACCGTTAATACTTGCTTGGGCTCGGTTTGTTCCAATGCCCAAAGTTATGTGGTGAAGCTGTGGTTGGTCATGACAAATTTCGATTGGCTTCCATTTGGTTCGCGGTTCGAAACCACGCTCTTGCAATCCACGGTCTGTCTTTTTTTAGCCTCCGCGCCTTCGCCTACGGACTGGCGCCGCGCATAAGATTCATTTGACATTTCCAAGACTCGATTTTACGGTTATTTTACAGTTTCGAAAATGGGAACCCGGAAATGGTCATTTCGCGAAAATGACTGGTCGCATGTTGGTTCTCTCCACAGCAGAATAACAAAGAAAAAGAAAGAATTACCACCATGGCAACATTTTTGGCCAAATGGTCTCTAGCTTTACCAATACATTGAGATAGCAAATCCTTTTCTAGAAGTAGCTCCCCAACACACTCACAGAGCCACCCCTCAAAAAGGATTTGCTATCTCCAAGGTTTCCTATGGAGCTCAGCAGAGAATTCCTGGCTAGATTGGTGGTTGATCTCCTTGATGCCAAGAAGGAAGATAATGTCTCTCCCTTCAAGGACTGTTGGTTGACCATTGGTGCCCTCAAAGCAGTCATCTGTAGGAGATACAAGGTAGAGGCAGAGGATGTGGCCACAGGGCAATTGTCAAAGGCAATGGATGGGATCCAAATCAACAACAGCGACAACAATGGCAACCGATCGTCGAACGCCTGCCACTGCCGCTAGCCAAACAAGAGGAGCCTGTCATGGTGGAGATGTCTACAAGAGGAGTAGCCGCTATAGAGGAGTAGCATCGTAGCATCATCTTGATAGAGTCAATAGAGAGTAAAGATAGAGGTATCGAAATAATGAAAAAGAAGAGGTGTACGAGTGGCTTGGATCGATCCGAGTGATGTCAGTTGAGATTAAGGTTAAGGTTACAGTGTCCTCTAAGTCTTTTCACGGAACGTTCCAGGACGTTGGGGTTCCCATTCGAATGTCTTACCGGGACCGTGCTTGCGTTTGCGTCAATAGCTTCGATACAGCCTGTACCAGTATGCTGCCGTATTTAGGCAATGCATTGGCTACAGCATGGTATTACGTTGATTGATTGGACGATACAAAACCTGTAACTACTACCAGGTACTGTAATTAAGAATGGAAAGTCACAGAGCTCTCAGCGGGTCAAGGCTTTGTGGCGCATGCGTCCTCCACGGTTCAGTTGAACTTCTGCGGCACAATTCCGGGTCAAAGTTGGAGGCTCCTAGCTAGGGACGAGGGGGCTCCTTTGAGGACGGTTCAAAGCATGTCGATATTCGAAACGTCTACTATCTCAAGTTCCTCGGTTACATCGTCACCCTTTTGTTCCTTTCGCGCAAACCCCTCAAAAGGATCGAATCGAATCAATCCAACTGAAACTTGGGACAAGTCACCTCCCGAGCAACGGTGCGACACACTTCCCTTGGTCGAGTAACAAGGCATTTTCTTCCCCCCGGTGTCATGACAGCACAATATAGATGCGACACGTCCATAATGGCGATGCATGGAGAGAGTTGTGCTTGAAGGTCGCTTATAGATGAGCTTGACAGAGGATTTAAAAAAATGAGGGTTCCATTCGGCCGGGATCGAGGTCGAGGTCGAGGTCGAGGCCGGCAACAAAATAAACACAGCATCTAGTAGCTAGCTAGTCTAGGCGAGTTCTAGCAAAGTAGTGGCATGACATTGCAGCAAAGGCAATAAATAGACGAATTAATTGTCAAAAGCCGTTCCTCAGATACAGATCTGGCATTGTACAAAAGTTGTAGCAGTGCAATCACTGGGAATCGAACCCAGGACATCTGCTTGGAAGGCAGATATTTTACCACTAAACTATGATTGCTGTTGTGATGGCAAAGACGAAGAAATAGGATTATACAAACCGTTTTTTGTGTGACTGCCCCATTGGTCACGTACATCGGAATTTGTATATGTCCACCCCAAGGAGCCCACGAAGAGTATTCATTCAGCTATTGATTCCATGGGAAGCCGTTTTTTGTGAGCCCATTGAAGCACATCCCAGATGTTGCTGCAGAGATTCGTGTTTTCTCATTCCATGGGCATCCATTTGCACCAGCCATCTCAATAGACTACTTCCAAGTGCCCATTTTGCAGAAGCATTTGAGCAAGTGTCTGCATCCCATGGAAATCCTTTTTCGTGGACCCAGCCATTGGAGAACTTGAAGGTTTCCGAGATTGGCAAGGGCTTGGCATGCATCTCGACAATGATGCTGTTAAACGTGCCATTATTCTGCTGTGGATGCATTGCAGGAAGGTAAGAGAGGAAAATTCAAAGCCTATGAAAAGCGAAATTGAAATGTTACAATTAATTAGCCTGGCTCTACTACCGTTATATACTGTAGCTACATTCAGCTAGCTACCGTAGTCAGTCAGTCCACTGTGATGGCTGGATACTCTTCTTCCGAGACGAATTCATGGAGGACGCTGTTGAGTCCAGGTGTCAAAAAGAAGCAGTCCTGAAGCAACATCCAGAACTCGGGCGGACACGGTTCCTTGTTGGTCTGCTGCTGCTGCTGAAACAAGTCGGGAGCGTGCAGGGGTCCAAAGGGAATACTGTCTCGCAAATGTATCAAGTATTGAATATTGCCCTGTCTCTTTAGGATGCTGATTGTCTCTTGGATACGTTCTTTTTCCGTTGTATGTTCCATCGCCGTCTGTTCTGGTTCTGTACTTTGTTGTTGTTCCCTTCGGGCCACATGTCTCATGTTGACCAAGAGACTCAGAATTTGAAACGTCGCATCATCCTCCGCTGCAAAGTCGTGTTTTGGCTGTTCTTTCCCTTTGGATGTGGATTGGTTGTCATGACCACTCTTGCCATTGCTGTGGATACAGCCCAGCCATTCCAGCATGGTCTCGGTGTCTCCCCCCAGAATAACAAGCAAGGCCAGTACTTTGTCTTTTACCTCCAAAGTCTGATTATTGTTGCTTGTGTCCTGCTTCTCGCCGCGAAAAACATCCAAAAAGGAACTCAAAGCGGCTCTATAGTAGACAGCTCCATTGTCAATGGTATCTGTCTCTCTGTATCCCATTTTGACCAACGATTCACCCAACGCAATGCAGCTGCTGCCAGGCTCTACTAGTTGCTCGGCAATGTCTCGACAGGAGTGCTTGTGAAAGGGAAAATGCTTCTTTTGACAAACTCCACCGCAGTAGTGGGCCACCTTGCACCGTGAACATCGCAGCATCTTTTTGCCTTCTACTATTATATCAGATTCCTGGATGCGACATTGGCTACACACAGGACGAGGGCCACCTTCTCCACGGACAATTTTCAAGACACGAGATGCATGGGCCAGAGCAGCGGGAGGCTTGTCACCTTGGGACATGTTTCTATATTATTGAGTGGACGGCTTCAGGTTCTCTCTTGAGATAGTTGTCCTCGTTGTCGAATCGAATCAGAATCTTCAATCCTTTTGGCCGTGTCTCTTGTCCGTTGTCTCGACTTCTCTCTTTAACTCCAACCCTACCTGTGTGTTGGAAGTTCTGCAGTCTGGGAAGTGCGCTTCCAAAAGTGTGACTGGGCCAATTTCCGCACACCAGAACAAGAATGCGAGTGACAACGCCTCCGTCTACTTCCGTCGCAGCAACAAGTATAGATGTTGATGGATCCGAGATTGCCCCTTCCTTGTAGCCAACAGGCACAATGTACCACTACCTTGTTGGCTAGCTAGCTAGCAAGCGGATTGCTGGCAGTAGCGGCAGTCCACCTGCACAGTTGTTGAACTTAGACGCAAAAATGGAGAAGATCCCACCACGATTGACGAGCAATCCAATCTTGCCCCAAGAATCCAGTGAAGCCGGGGTGGTCACCTCGGTGCTCTTCTCGTTTTCGCCCTTGGCCATCAAGACAAGGCAAGATAGCAACGCAAGACCGCTCCCTCAAGCGGATGTTGCGTCAACCTTGGTGGCAGGGGTAGAGCAAAGCAAACGTATCACAAAACCAAAATCCATCTGCACGATAGCGGTACAACTTACAACAACAACAAAGCAAAACATGCCAGCCAATACGAAGAAAGATGATCCCATGCCGTTCGTCTATGTTCGGTCCAAAGACCATGCATGGGTCCCTGCGCGGGTCCTCGAGTCGGATGGGAAGGTTGCAACGGTGATTGTTCAGAAATACAAAAATGAAGAGGAAATGCTCCTGAATGCGGCCAAAACAGCGGGAATCACGGTGCAACAACAAGTGGTGCAGCTCAAAGATTATGACAGTGGAGTCCTTCCCATGCAAAATGTCGATGACAGAGGCAAGCTTGGAGACTTTGAAGATATGGTGAATCTACCCTATCTCCACGAGGTACGAACGAACCAAAGCCGTGGTCATTCGAAAGTACATTATCGAGTTGCCTGGATCTCACGTGTCTCATTGTCGCTCCTTTCTTGTAGGCTGCAATCCTCTACAACATCAAGAATCGACACATGAAGGGATTACCCTACACCAGAACGGGAGATATGATTGTAGCGGGTAAGACAGGATCCAGGCAAACTGCGTAAACTGGCTCCGAATCCCGTCGTGTGCTGTCACTTACATGCATGTGTCTCTTTTCTTGCAACCCCGTACATGTAGTCAATCCCTACAAATGGTTTGACCACCTCTACACCGAGAAGCAACGAAAGACGTATGCAAAGAAACTAGTGTGGGACAACTCGGAAAGCGACCCAAGGAACTATCTGTCGCCGCATGTCTATGAAACATCTGCTCTGGCATACAAGGGAATGTCATTTGACAAGCAGAACCAGTCTATTCTTGTGTCTGGAGAGTCTGGAGCTGGAAAGACAGAAACAGTCAAGATTTGCATGAATCATCTTGCCAATGTCCAGGAAGGCCCGACAACAGGAAGCAGCAGCAGTACGAAAGACTCTTCTTTGATTGTCCAACGAGTGCTCGACTCGAACCCTCTCCTGGAGGCCTTTGGCAATGCCCAGACACGCCGAAATGACAACTCCAGTAGGTTCGGCAAGTACACACAGCTCCAGTTCGACCGACGAGGAGAAGTTGGCAGACCGGTTGCCAAGCTTGCTGGTTCCATCTGTGAGCCCTACCTTTTGGAGAAGAATCGCGTCATCAACCATGACAGCCAAGAAAGGACTTTCCATATCTTTTATCAGTTGCTTGCTGCTCCAGAGGACGCCAAGGCATGTGTTTGGAGTGGGCTCAAGGGCAAAAGGAATGCTGACTTCAAGTATGTTGGAGCCACACAAACAACCATGATTGAAGGCGTCTCGGATGGTGATCAATTCCTACGTACAACGAAAGTACTTAGCCTCATTGGTCTCGGAGACAAGGTCATTCGAGAGTTCTTGCGGGCCCTTTGCGTTGTCCTCCAGCTTGGTAATTTGACCTTCGGTGCTCCTGGTGGTGATGCAGACAAGTCTGAGTGTATTTCCTCCAAGGAGTTGGCAGGACTTGCAAAGTTAATGGACTTGCCCGAGTCTGACCTGTCTGTGGCTTTGACAGAGAGAACCATGAAGACGAAAGATGAAAGTTACAAGGTGCCTCTGGATCCTGCAATGGCTAGAGACTCTGCCGATGCCCTTGCGAAAGAGATTTATGGAAAGCTCTTCCTTTGGTTGGTCAATGCCATCAACAAAGCAACAAGTGCCGAAGCGAACTACAGTGGAGGCAAGAATAAGAACTTTGGAATCATTGGTTTGCTGGATATCTTTGGCTTTGAATCCTTTGAAGTCAACCGATTTGAGCAGCTCTGTATCAACTATGCCAATGAGAAGCTCCAGCAAAAGTTTACAGAGGATATCTTTCGCTCTGTGCAAGCAGAGTACAAGATGGAAGGTGTCCCATTGGCAGAAATCAAGTATGATGACAACACTGATGTGCTGGACTTGATTGAGGGCCGTACTGGTCTGTGTGCCATGTTGAATGAGGAGTGTGTCCGTCCCAAGGGCAGCGGCTTTGGCTTTGTTAACAAGGCCCTTGCAGGAAACAGAAAGAGTCCTTGTCTGGTGCCTGACATGACTGATCGAATGTGCTTTGGTATCAAGCACTATGCTGGCAAGGTATTCTACAATGCAGAAAACTTTGTGGCATCCAATCAAGATACACTTCCCACTGATCTGCAAGATTGTGCCAGCAAATGCTCCAATCGCCTGATCTGTGCTGCCTTTCAGGAGGAGCCCGATGAAATGCCACGTCGAGGCAGCAGCAAGGAAACCCCGAAACGTCTTCGAAGCAACATTATGGCTCCCACTGTATGGACCAAGTACAAGGGGCAACTCTCGCATCTGATGACAAACCTACGCAGCACAAACTCTCGCTACATCCGTTGCATCAAGCCCAACACCCTGAAGAAACCTGGCTTGATGGAGCATAACACCACTGTGGAACAGCTGCGCTATGCTGGTATTGTGGCTGGAGTGACAATCTCACGCTCAGCGTTCCCAAATCGCTTGTCCAACACCGTTGTATACGCTCGGTACAACGGCATGTGGGAAAAACGCCAGTATCCTTCCGTCAAGTCTCGATCTATGAGCATAGCTGAGCAAGTCAAGGCCGATTGTGAGGCTGTTCTCACCTGTGCGCTCAAAACTAAAGAGAGTTTGGAGAAGGGTGGCCGTACCGTCAAGGCCTTCGTCGTGGGCAAGACTCGCACCTATTTTCGTGCCGGTGCGTTGGAGTACTTGGAATCCCAGCGTATTACTGGTCTTGATGCACAGGCGACAGCAATCCAAAAGGCAATCCGTGGTTGGTTGATTCGAAAGGATCAAATCAAGGCTGCCAAAAAGAAGGTTGAGGATGCAGCATTGGCCATTCAAGCCGAAAAGGAGCGCAAGGAGCGATTGGCTCGGGAAAAGAAGGAACGCGAGGCAAGGCACCTTCAAGAGATGAAGGGGTACTATTTGGAAATCCAAGCCTTGAAGAAAAGGTTGCAAGAGGCTGACGAAGATGGAACGCGACGTGTTGAAGCAGCAAAGCGACGCGAAGAGCAAGCAAGGCAACAACGGGACGAACTCCAAAGCAAGGTCCATGACCATGACAACAAGACCAAGAGCGAAATGGAACGTCTGAAGATAAGATATGCGGCCAACCTTAAGCTGATACAGCAGTTGAAGAAGGAGAACAAGAAGGCGCACAAGGCCTTGGGCAAGGATGAGAGCATCTGGAAAGATGCAGACAAGAGGTACAAGAGATTGAGCCACATCAATCACGAATCTGCCACTACCTTTGACGGCCTCGAAGGCGACGCCAGCTCAGTGGCAGCTTCCAACCAACGCCTGTTGGACAAGAGAGAAGAGGCCCTCGAAGTAAACATGAACCTAAAGGACAAGGTTCGCAAGCTTCAGAGTCAGTACATGGATGTGGCCGAGCAGCGTTTGGAATTGCAAAAGACCATGGCCAAGATTTTGAACACGATCCAGGACGGGTGCAAGGACAAAACTTTGGTGGAGCACGTCTTTTGTGTTGGCCACGAGTGTGAGACCGAATCGAAGTGTCTCATTGCCAAGCTGGAAATCGAGGAAGCCCCTTACGACCTCGTCATGTCGGATACATCGGATTCGACGCGCTTGTCCTCGTCAATGGATTTGTCTCAAATTTCTCTCAAGTATGTTTGAGTAATTGACGCACCAGCATACTGATGAGAACTTCCTACAAAGTAGAATTACATGTATGCATTTTATTAGATTGTTTGCCGCCGACTTACGATGTTCTTCGTAGAGGCACATGTAACTACAATAAGCGTACGGTTACGCGGTACATTTTTATCTGGGCCCGTTGCATTGTTGCTTTTACCATACCGGTAGCAGCTAACTCAACCTCGCAGCACATGCACCCAGTAACCAGGCCTGCAACAACTGACTTTAGAACGTTGTTGCCATATGGGAGATCGCGAAGGTCCGAATGATCCATCTAGCTACTAGTGAAGGCGATCACACCACGATCGACGAGAAGACGCGAACCGAGAAGCGAAGCGTGGAATTTGAAGCTGGCGGGCTTCTCGTCCTCTTTTCCAAAGCTGCCAAAGGGGCAAAACTGGAAAAGAGAGTCAGAGTCGACATAAACAAGAAGAAAAATGATCACCCCCCGTTTTGAAAGCCGCCAACAAATCGTAGCTGCTCTGGCAGCCTTAAGGGCCGGAGGGGACAGTGAGGAATGCATAATGGTGCCGAGTGTTGTATTCCAGGACGAAGAAGCCGTTGTGCGTCTCGACCAGTATCTGCGGGAATGCTCCGTCCGATCGACACAACGACCGAACCATTTGCGATTTACTCATATGCATTTTCAAAGAGGCGCCTTTGAACCACCAGTCCCTGCAGCGAGACTCGCGCCACTGCTGAATTACATGACCAACAACCGCCTCGAAAAGCTGGATCTGTTTTGTATCCGACTGACAGGTGATACGGAGCTACTTGCCCATGCACTTCGACAACAAAGAAGACTGAAATGGTTTCAATGTCTAGCCTGCACATTTGGAAACACAAATAATGCTGGTGTCATTGCTGATGCTCTTGCTACTCTTACCAGTCTGGAGTTTGTCCTTTTTCAACCCGGTGATGAGCGAATGCCTGATCCTACGCTTTTGGGAACATACACCACTCTTTCGACAATGAGTTGGCTGCATCTACTGGAATTGAGACAGCTTCCTTTCTCTGTCTTTAATGCTTTCTTTGACAATCTGCAAATCTTGCCAGGTCCAAAGAAGCTGGACATTGTCGGTGGTGGCATATCCCCATCTACTATCCAGCACGTTGCGCAGATGCTGGCACACAACTCGCACATACAGGATCTGACAATGTATACTCGCACACAGAGCGGGACGCCTCTGAAGCCCATCGCTTCGGCACTGACAGGAAATACTAGCCTTCGAGTGTTGAATATTCGACACACAACACTCAGCGATGACGATGTAGACGCCTTTGTTGCTCTGTTGGAAACGCCACACTTTTCATTGGAGCGTATCGACCATTATGGTACTGTTGTGCACAAGGATGCTCAAGCCAGACAGAAAACCGTTGCTCAAGTCAACAAACTGCGCTTCTTGCTTCAGCTCAACGAACATTACCAGAGGAGACGCCTTTATTATCCTTCTTTGGATGATGATGCCGAATGGATGGAGTGCTTTGTATCTGTGTTGGAAGAGCATCACGTTAACTACGATTGGACTTGGGAAGAAGAGCTCGACCGCTCTGACGAAGATGACAATAAGCCATGCCCGGTGAGAATTGCCCGCGATGTTACCACCGACCCCGACATTCTGCTGTGTTCTGTCATCTTTTACTACCTGTCGCGAAATCCATCCGTGCTGCTACGCGCCGTAGTCTGAAGATACACGCAGTACTAACTAATGTAATATAACATAATGGTAGCAACCATTGAGTGGACCTTCACTACTACGGTACTCTGGCTAGACTCAGCTTTCTTCTTCTTTTGCTTTGGTGCAGCATAACGCATGATTTGTTTCCAATTTCCAAGTTGAGTCCCATCCATGCCCGTGCCTCCATCTCCGCAACGGCTGCAATTTGCATCGTAAATGTTGTCCAATGTGTTTGATGCTGCTGGAATCCAGGGTGGTGTATCTTCCATTCCGAAGGAATACTTACAGTTATGCCGTACATCGTACCTGGTGCTTCCAACAAAATGCTGCAACCTCCAACGATCGAGACGCTCGATCGTGGTCCTTTTGGCACCATCCAGTTGCGGGACTGGCTACCGTACCGGTAAGCTGAGAGGCTTTTGCAATCAAATGTGATTGGCACGCTACTTATGTTAAATCTTCAGTTGACATGGTGTCACATAAATTCTAATTACCATGATGTTGTAGAAAAACGTCCCGGAAATTGAAAATCCAATGGCGCGCGATCGCAAGAATTCTTGGAGGCGCAGCGACACGATTCGTCGCGAGAGCGCGAGCAGCGGATTTTAGGCTGAGATCGAAGATCCAGTCGAGCTGGAGGATTTTTGCCCAAGGGCCTAGGCGAAGCGTAGCACGAGGGCAAAAATCGACAGCCGAGACACCAGATAAGATCAAAGCCGTCAATGAGGCGGAGGTCTTTGTCTGTAATCTACTTGACAAAAGCCGAGTAAATAGCCAATCAATCAATCAAGCCCTACTGTTTAGTGCTGGAGTAGAGTAGTCAGTCGCTGGTCATCATGTGGTCGTCATCAGAAGAAGAGGAGAACACCCGAAGACTCCTTGAGAACCACGAAGGCGAGTTTACCCTTCCACCCGTAGAGGACTCCAGTAGTAGCAGTAGTGAGGAGGAGGAGAGGAGGAGGAGGATGAGGAAGAAGCGGTAGTGGAAGCGGTAGTGGAAGGGGCAAAAATCCGACAACCGAAACACCAGATCAAGATCAATGCCGTCAATGAGGTGGAAGAAGCCGACGACTATGAAGAGGAGGAAGATCACGAAGAAGAGCTCCGTCGGCCAGTAATGATGACTCAAGGAACCAGCTTTGTTGTGGCAAATCTTCTGGCACTTGGCTCTGAATCAACATTGACTTTGGTCCAGCCAGAGTCTCATTGTCTCCCCAAAATCCAACTCCAACACCAGAAAATCCACCAAAAAATGCTGCTGAAATTGCCAGTGCTCTTGGTGTTGGTCGAGATTTTACCACCTTGGACTTGACAGAGTAAGAGCAAAAGCTTCTAGAAAATTGCAAGGACCAAGGAAGACGAGGCAGAAAGTATGAGAAGAAATGTGAGAGTCTTCAAAAGCGATTCTTCAAGACAATCGAAGAGCATGGAGGATCCGTCTTACACAGTCTTCTTGAGATAGTTCCCGTCGATTATGACCAAGGCCACTCAACCAACTATCGTTTCTTCAATGTGGTATGCGGAGAAAAAGATCGAAACAAACATAAAATCCTCAACTATTGCGCCATCTTGTGCGGAATGAAATGGTTGTGCTTTCCGGTACCAACAAAGGCAAGCACTCTCCCCCACCGTCTTCACAATACATAACAATGTATCACCGAGTGGAAATCCATGACCCATAACAAATTCCAGTACACCTCAAGGAGGATTTCAATGCCAAAGGAGATTTCCATGGAGTCATGATTCAGTTTTGGGCGGAAATCCGCAAGAAGGATCCAACATTTGGAATTCGTAGTCATCATTCGGAGATCGATTGGGAAGCGGACAAGAAAATCCGCGAAGCTGTCAAAGACGGTAAACTTCATCCGTGGACGAATCCAAAAGATCTCCAACGTGTCTGCGTATTCCATCTTGGTCGATCATTTCTTCTTCGGGGCGGTAAGGAAATGTCGAGTCTCATGATGCGGGATACTTATTCCGGGATGTACACTCGGGAGATGGGGGACCTGTCTGGATGTCTGCATATGGCAATCCGACTTCCGAGGACAAGACAAATCGACTGACATTTTACAATTCCAATGCTCTTTCGGACAAAGATCGTTGGTTGGAAATCGTCGAGAATCCTCGAGATCCGCTGTGTGCTTTCAAGTGTTTCGACTTTTATTTGTCGAAGTGTCATCCGGAAGCGAGAAGTTCTTCGCCAAGGTTGCCTCCGACGCGCAGAAGAAGGAATACCGTAAATATTTCACGAAGCACCCAGTTCACGCGAACCGGTACAAGGATCGTGACATTTGGTTCCAACCGTCAGGTGAAACCGCTCAATACAATCTTGGCCACAATACCGTATCCAAGATGGCCAAGGAACTCGGCACCACCATTGGAGTCACGAATCTTGAGAAGTTCACGAATCATGGTCTTCGTGCCTATGGAATCACCAAGATGCATCAAGCTCGGGTTCCAATGGCTGCTCGATTGAAATTCGCCCGTCACAAGTGCGAACAGAGCCAGATACCCTATGCACGTCTCGTGGATGAAGGTCGATCGACTGCTCTCAAAGCGTTGATGTGCTCTGATCAGGATTTGGCCGTGGAATCTGATGATGAAGACGGAAATCCGCGTCCTCCTCGACGCGCTTCAGAGGATGAATCCGATGATGGTGGCGGTAAGCCACGCGCCAAGCGTGACCTCCAAGCGCCAAGCGCAAAAAGAAAAGGATGCAACTTGGAAAAAGTCGAGCAAGTCCAAGAAAAATGCGTCCGCCAAGAAGTCCGCCAAGAAGTCAGTGCCCGAGGAGATCTGACTCAAGATTCGGACGATGAAGAAGAGACTTCCTTGTTGACCGAAGCTCCATCCGTCCTTCCCGACGACAAGGAATTGAAGAAGATGACGAAGGCCCAGTTGCTCGAGCTGGTTCACGCTCAAGCGCAGCATCGCGGCAGTTTGCTCGCTCCTGGGTAGCGGTGGTGGTGCGGTTGTTTCCGTGGCAGGATCTCATCAATCGTGGCGATGGCTCCATTGCGGCGGCTCCAGTTGCGGCGGCTCCAGTTGGCGGCTCCAGTTGCGGCGGCTCCATTGGTGGCGGCGAATCAAGTCATGGATCAACGAATGTATCAACAGCAACCGATGCCCATGCAAATCCAGCCGCAGCCACAGTACTCGATTCCAATGCAAATGAATTGGAGTCAAATGGTGGCGATGCAGCAGCAAGCAACCATGATGCAGAATTTCATGATGCCACAACAACAGCAGTACGTGTATCCCCAGATTCCGACCGTTCAGATGCAAGCCGCTCCACAGATCTTGCCCGCTCCCGCTCCACAGATCCAACAGCAACCGGCCCAACCACAGTCGCAGATTTGGTTTCGAGATGCCAACGGGAACTTCTTTCCGGCCAATCAGAATGGACCGAACGGCCCCCCACTTGGATGATCACCATGGTGTCGCACGGTGGAAATGGGGCATAGATTTGGGCATAGATCATCAAATCCGAACGGTGACCCGTCATGGTGGTTCTTTTTTACCGGTTGGTTTGAAGGAAAATGACATAGCTATTGCTGCTACTTTTCGATTGGTGAATTTATGGGAATATTTCAACCGGAAATGAAAGGAGTTGTCGGCAGAGTGCTTGTTTCGTGCATCATTGACCGTTCCGAGCGACGTTCCGACTGTTTCACCTCTATTAGTTGTCCGTTTGATAAGAACCCTTTTTATTAGTAACAAATACGTTTTTCCATTATCTGCTGGTACATGAGATAGCCATATGAATAGCCCAGAAACTGGAAAAAACGAATTGTAACAAAAAGATACGGTTTAGTATTTTCGATCCCACAAAGCTATCAACATGAACGATTGATGGGAACCAATCCAACACATGGTCGCTGAAACAGACTCACATGGGCTTAACACGGTAACAACGTATGTTTATCATTTTCGCGGAATCTACAAAAATCCAGTCACAATCCAACGAACGTCCGAGGAGACATCTCTTATATAAATTTCCAGAATCTGTAGAATAGGATTGTACTGATTTTATACGGTGGAATATCCCGCAAACTTCTGATAAACGGCCGATAGATGTGAGTGGATTTCCGAGGATCGATGTCATATCAAATTTTTACTATAGAGACATCAGTAGAGAAATCCAATCGGATTCTGACATCAGGCCGTTACCGGCGATTTCAATCATGTTTGAAAAATTTCGAAATCCGAATCGGCCTTTCGAGTTAAATAAGACGGGGATTTCGACCGTTGAGAACTTTCGACAGTAGAAAGTGTACCAGAGCTACGAGGGCGTTGGCGGGTGGATTACTCTAATTCCAACGGTGACCTTCTATACCGCCATATGCGCGATCACAGATCACACTTCGCATCTTTGATCGATGAGAACCCCCAGCCATCAAGCACCAATAAAGCACAACCCGCGCTTCATTTTTTTATAAAGCACAACTGTTACTCCCTCGGACTGACTGTTGTTGCTTGTCCTTGTTTTGTATACCAAGCAAGGTCCAGGTAGCATCTCTGTCCCAGGCAGAAGAGGGACATATTAAAATTAATTGATTAATCAACAAGCAAGCAAGTGGCTACTATCCGAAAAGAGAACAACCACAGCAAAATGCCGACCAGGGAAGAAGAGAAGAAAGAGGGGCCCGATGGCAGTAATACTAATACTAATGCTGTCACTACACTGCATCATCACGTCTACGTTCGATCCGAAGATCACGGGTGGGTCCCCGGACGAGTGATTCGCATCCACAAGGAGGAAGCCGAGGTGGAAATTGACAAGTTTGAAGATGAACAGGCCATGTTGTCTTGTACGACGAGTGCTGCCGATGGCGACGCTAGTGGTAATAAAAAAGAGACCTATTCCGTGGATTTGCAATCGTACACGGGAGGTGTCTTGCCACTCCAAAACACGGACGATCGTGGCCTGTTGATGGATTACGAAGACATGGTGGATATGCCCTATTTGCACGAGGTGAGTGAGAAGAAGAAGAAACAGATAATGGCAAAGACTTTTCTTGATGGTTTCCAACTTCATTCTAACCTTTCCTATTTCAATTATTCAGGCATCCATTCTGTACAATTTGAAACAGCGCCATTTGGAGGAAAAGCCTTACACTCGCTCGGGAGATGTTGTTATTGCCATCAATCCCTATCAGTGGTATCACCACCTCTATCAACCAGATCAGCAATTCTACTATGCCAACAAACTACTCTGGGACGATTATTCCAAAAACAGGATTGTCATTGTCACTCCACAATTGGATATACCCGGACAACCATCGTCCGCCGAAGAAGCCCATCCCGAACATCCCGCTGCCACACCCAAAGAGATTCCTCCACATGTCTATGAAACTTCCACATTGGCATACAAGGGAATGGCACTCTGGGGACAACCACAATCCATTTTGGTATCGGGAGAATCGGGAGCTGGCAAGACGGAAACGGTCAAAATTTGCATGCATCACATTGCCGAATTGCAGCATGGACCTTACGGTGGCAACAATAACAATGATGGCACAAAAATTGTCGTACAGCGCGTGTTGGATTCCAATCCACTGCTGGAAGCCTTTGGGAATGCTCAAACCAATCGAAATGACAATTCCAGTCGTTTTGGCAAGTACACGCAACTCCAGTTTGATCGACAACAACAAGCATCATCAACACCATTCGACGATCAACAAATGACACCGGCCAAATTGGCGGGAAGTATCAGTGAAGTCTACCTGTTGGAAAAGAACCGTGTGGTGCACCACGATCGCAAGAATGAGCGGACCTTTCACATCTTTTACGAGCTCTTGGCCGCACCGGGCAATCATCAAACTGCCATTTGGGAGGAAGGCTTAAAGGGTAGCACGCTCGACTCGTTTCGATATGTGGGCATGACGACGACGCAAAAAATTGAAGGAGTGTCGGACCGGAATCGATTCCTCAAAACCGTCAAAGCACTGGAAGTGGTGGGGATTGCCGGGGATTTGCGACACGACTTGTTCCGATCGCTCTGTGTTGTACTGCAGCTGGGGAATCTCATTTTTGCACCGGATCCCACGGATGACGACAAGTCTGTTATCGCCTCGGAAGAAGAGCTGGAAAAGTTGGCGGCACTCATGGGAGAAGGACAAGATGTCTTGCGCAAGGCATTGACGGAGCGAACCATGACCACCAACAATGAAGTGTACAAGGTCCCACTCAATGCCGTTGTGGCCAAAGAGTCCTGTGATGCACTCGCCAAGGACATTTACGAAAAGGTGTTTTTGTGGTTGGTCCGGACCATCAATATTGCCACATCGGCGGAACGGAATTATCAGCCAAACAACAGTAATAACAAACGACGCGGCAGTGTTGGAAAGAAGACTAAGGGTCCCAAGTATGGCGTCATTGGCTTGTTGGATATCTTTGGATTTGAGGCATTCCGAGTCAATCGCTTTGAGCAGCTTTGTATCAACTATGCCAACGAAAAACTCCAGTACAAATTCACAGAAGACTGCTTCCGGTTGGTGGAGGCAGAATACAAAGAAGAGGGCGTTCCTCTGGACAACATCACTTACTATGACAACACGGATGTGCTGGACTTGATTGAAGGCAAGACGGGTCTGCTAGCCATGCTGAATGAAGAGTGCTGGAGGCCTCAAGGGAATGCGGCTACCTTTGTCAACAAGGCATTGCATCAGAATGCCAAATCATCCTGTTTGATTGTCAACACAATGGATCGAATCAGCTTTGGTGTCCATCACTATGCAGGAAAAGTGCTCTATGATGCCGACAACTTTGTGAGGAGGAATCAGGATGGTCTTGCGTCGGACCTCAAGGAATGTGCTCTCCGGTCTACAAATCCCATTATTGCGGGTGAATACGCGGCTGCCACGGAGGAGGCAAAGGCAGAAGAACAAGCTGCTGGGCGGTCAACAAACTCCAACTTGATGGCGAAAACTGTATGGACCAAGTACAAGACACAGCTTTCCAAGCTCATGGCAGATCTCAAAGAAACTGAGTCTCGCTACGTTCGGTGCATCAAACCAAACGAGCTAAAGGCGCCTCTTCTCTTGGAGCACAGGTTGACCATCAATCAGCTCCGATCCTGTGGTATTGTTTCCAGTGTCACGATATCGCGTTCAGCATTCCCCAACAGGATGCTCAACAAGCACGTACTTACGCGTTTCGGTGGCATTTGGCATCGAAAGAAGAAAGGGGAGAAAACAGTCCAGACTGCAAGCAGTTTGGACAAGCTGTGGAAAGCCGAAGCTGAAGCTCTCTTGTCGTATGCTCTCATGGCAAAACGTTTCAAAGACCCCACTAGCGGAAAGCCGCGTGCAGGATTTGTCGTCGGAAAGACAAAAGCCTTCTTCCGAGAAGGGGCTCTCGAGTATCTCGAGGCTGAACGCATGAAAGGATTGGATCGACAGGCCGCAAAGATTCAACGCGCCTACCGCGCCTTCCTGGAGCACAAGGATGAAATCCGTGCTGCTGCAGCCCTTCGTCGGCGAAGAGAATGGCATCAGAGAAAGTACAGAGAACGGCGTGAAAAAAGAAAAGCCGAGGAAGGAAAATGGAAAGCGGCCCTTGCACAAAGCGAAGAAGAGTTCGAAGCACACTTGGCAGCCGATTGGCAGAAGTTTAGTGAAACGATGGCAGAGGAGGATAGACTGTTCAAGGAAAATCTGGAAAGAGAAGAAATTGCGAGACAAGCTCAAGCGGATGCCGACAACCAGCAATGGAAAGAAAAGATGGAACGCGAAGAACAGGAGTGGAAATCCCGTATGGAAGAAGCAGCAAAAGCGCGCTCTGCGCCCGATGGAGACGATTTGGCCAAAGTCGAAGCAGAGATTGCCGCCTTGAAGAAGCGGCTGCAAGAAGTTGATCTGGAGGCTGGCGAAAAAGTCAAGGAATCAACTGAGCACCTCAAAGAAGCCAGGTCGGAGAAGACCAAGCTGGACTTCAAGATTGATGTTGACGCAACACAAGAAGAAAGAGACCTCAAGCGTGAGTGTATATTTGCCAAAGCCATTCTAGAGGAACGGGAAAACTTCATTGAACAGCTGAAACGCGAGCAAAAGAGACTGGGGAAGATGTTTGACAGAACCAAAGCGAAGAAGGCGGCGACAGAAGAGAGCAACAAGACACTGACGGAACAGTGCAAGACGACCAGCGTCAAGTTTGAGAGGTCAAGGCGACAAAGCATCACTCTGGGACAAGGCATTGAATCCAAGCAGGACGTGTACAAAGCTGTGAAAGAGAGAAACCAAGAACTTCACGCGTTGACTTCGAAGCAAGACGAAGCGTATTCGCTGCTCGCAGAATCGAAACTGGAACTGCAGCATACCATGGCCGCGATCCTGGAGATTGTCCAGAACGAGTGCAAGGATGAGGAGCTTCGTTCCGCTGTCATGCGCATCAATGTCAAGACTTCGAGGGACGCATACAAACAAATGAAGTTGGTGCAACAGATGCAACAAGAGGCCATGAAGAACAGGAAGGACTTTTCCGTGTCGGATCTCGACCAATCTTGGGCTGTACACTAGACGAGACGAGTTCGACTGCTGGCTAGCAGGGGAAAGGAAGCCCTTACGGAAAGATCGGGAATATCTCTCGATGGCTGTAGAGATAACATTGTCTTTACGTAGGTTAATTTATGTAGGTTAAGTTACTGTTCCATCTCCTTCTGCTTGGCAGGTGACGGCTCGCCTTGTTCTGTGAGTGATTCACACATCCTCTTTCGTGACCTGGGATCGGCAACGTAGTCCATTAGCATGCCAGGGACCCTCTTCATGGTGCAATGCAGTTCCAAGCTGAATTCGAACATGGAATCCGAAAGCGGCTTGACGCTCCAACAGGTTTGGGATTCGAAAACGAACGACGGCAATCCCTCCGATTGATACTTGAACATCATGGTTTCATTTGAATGATCCAAAAGAGTCGCCGTAATGACTTTGCCACCAGGTTGATGCAGCCTTCGACCAGTGGCGCCATCTTGGGTGTGAATATTACGCACTGTTCTGGTCGAATACATGTACTGCCTCTGACTTGGGCATTACACCACTGGGCAATGTTCCCAAAGTGTCCCGATATTACATCCCAAACAGCTTTTGTTGGTGCATTGATAATTGTGGTTTGCGTTGCGCGCATCTTTGATTATGTTTGGTTTGTGCTGAAAGGAGTTGATGAATCTGTGTTTTTTTTAGCTTGGAGTGGTGGTACCTGGTACTGTACCAGGTAACTAAAATTAATCGAACCCGATCATTGAATTCGATTAATAAGCCAGCGGAGGTGTGTAACCTCGGCAGAAAGGTTTCAGTGTAGAAGCAGATACCCCTATCTAGCTAGCTAGAAGCAGATACCTCTAGTGCTTAGCTAGTGCTTAACTTGCACTTAGCTAGCTAGAAGCAGATTCCCCCTAGCTAGACGCAGATTTCCATAGCAAGCTAGAAGCAGATACCCCTAGCTAGCTAGAATACTAGTCATATAGCATTCGCTGGCTTGAGTTTTTCCTGGTAGAAGCAGATCCCCCTACTAGGATGCATGTAAATAGCTTTAGCTGGTTTAAAAGCACCATCCTACTAGGATACTTATTTTAAAAGTTTTTGCTGACTTATTTCTATTCTAACCCTACCCTTATACCTGCAGGGACCACCGTAGCAGGAAAAACAATTAAAGGGGTTGAGGGCTCTGGCAGCAAGACTGCCGAGGTTAGATATCATCGTGGACGGAGGGGGGATTAGAGTAGGGAAAATATCTACGGACGGAGGTGGAAGGCCACGGAGCCACCGCTTAGCCCCCGTACAAGGAGGAGTCACTTAGGAGACTCCAGCGGTTACGGTTAACCTCAATCCAATGCAGCACAAGTCCTCCTGCTCACCCACCACCAACATCTCTCCCTCATCTTTGGAACATCCTTCTCCACCATGGAGTCGATAGCCCTCAGCTGTGTAACAACAGCGGAAGACAAAGAGCTAGACCAGGAAGCCCGGATTGAGGATATCCGCACAGTGCACCTTGCGTCCAGCGACTCCAAGATATGGAGCGCCTTGAAGCACCTAGATGCCTTCCTCGCAGTCTACTTGAAGCAGATCAAATCCCCAGTCATCAGCAGCCGTCACCTCACCTACTACGGCGTTAAAACGAGCGGAACCTTTGAAGAGGCAAAAACCTGGTGGGACAATATGATCGGTAACTTGCTTCTTCTGTTATCTCCACAAGGACGTCTGCAAGTACTGTGATCCCAGCAAAGGACGCGTCTCGTACGAGACCGCAACGGGATACGCGTCAAGCGTCAAGGTCTACTTCACTACCAAGTTTCGCAAATACGGCCCCGAGTGGAGCGTGTTCGGTTCTACGAAGTGGAGAACCCTCCGCAACAAGCTACTAGTACTCGCCCAGGAAGTCCCCCGATGACGTCATTTTAGCGACTTGGGCGAGCCCAGGCGAGCCTCTAGTCGCGCAAGTCGCGCTAGTCGTGCTAGTCGCGATTTCTAAGTCGCGATTTTAAATCGCGACTTGCCAGCGCGACTAGCGCGACTAGCGCGACTTGGTGCGACTTTATTAAAATGGCGCGACTTCTAGTCGCGATTTCAAGTCGCGATTTTTATCCAAGTCGCGATTTTCGTTACTCACTCCACGATGGGGAAATAGGATCGATCATGGCCGCTGTTGTTACTCCTTGGCTCCTCAAGCCATCCTTCATCCTCAAGGCAGGTCTGATATCGTGTCATGTTGACGATTCAGTTCAGCAGAGGCGATGTATGGCGACTAATGTGAGGGTTTTCAAAGCTCATTTTGGAAAACATCCCGTCCATCTTGCCCTAGTTTGGAGAGATATGCAACTTTTTGACAATCTTATGACAGTAGAAGAAGCCAAAAATAGGAAATCCTTTCGAAGCTTTATGTTGGCCAACAATTTTCTTCGATTGTATGAGTCAGAAGATGTCCGAAACGCTAGATTTGGAGGCAACTACGACAATATGAGAGATTCAACATGGGATTTTGTTGGTCGCATTGCAAGTCTCAAGCAGCACAAGATTGTATGCTCAAGTGTATGGCCTGTCAAGCTTGGAGCAAGTTGTGACGGCACACAGTTGCGAACCAATGAACCCAGAGATCAAGAGATGAGACGCAATCCAAAAAACTTTGCGTACAAATACAATTTTGCTGGTCTCAACTACCAAATAGTTCTCTCTCTGTGGACAAACCATGTTTGGTATGCATGTGCTGGAGATCCTGGCAGCACTCATGATATGACAGCAATTCGCAAAGAGTTTGTTGATATGGTACCGGATGGCTGCAGAGTTATTGCCGATGATGCATATACTGGTAAGACTGATGCTGAGAAGCGTATCTTTGCAGTAGAAAACAATTTGGATCATCCTGAAGTCAAAGCCTTCAAAGGGAGAGCTAAAGCACGACAGGAAACAATCAACAAGAGGCTGAAGGACTACGAATGCCTCAGCAAGCCATTCATTCATGGAATTGAGAAAGCAAAGCTTTGCTTTGCTGCTGTGATTGTCCTCGTCCAGTATTCCATCGAGGATACCAGCAAGTTTGGGGAGCCGCTTATTTGCCTCTGAGCATCGTAGTAATCTATAGGTTTGTTGGTGGTGCTTCGAAAAACTTCTTGTATTATGAGTTTATCCTTGTTTTCTGCTTATATAACTAATCAATTGCGTCTAAAACTCGTCCTCTTCATCATCCTGTACGTCGATATCTTCAAATCGGTCCATATCGTCTTCCGGATCATCTCGTGATCCAATCGGACGCTTCTTGCTTCCTTTGTCGATATCCATATCCTCACTATTACGTTCCTGTTGCTCCTCCTGAGCTTTCTTGGCTGTTTCTACATCAAGCATGTGATTGATATTGCCGGCATGTTCATTCAAGACGGTATCCAAATCCTCTTCAAACTCTTGAACAAACTCATTCAAATCAGTCAACATGTGCCTAAGCCAAGCTTCATCTTGGCCTTCTTCCTCAACCGAACCTGACTCGAGCTTGTCATTGATAATGCGCTCTGCAATCATAAGCTGTGCTCTCTTCTTCCTCTCGGGATCTTCGATCAATCTCCTCCTCTCTTCTTCCTCAGCTTTCTCTCGTTCTATTTCAGCTAAGCGCTCCCACTCTCGCTCCAAAGAATCTACACTTCGAACCTCCCCATCAGGGTCATCATCATCATTGATTCCTCCTTTGTCAGAAGCTGTGGGAGTGGTGATCTGGAAACTATAGTTTTCGTCTTCATTTCCTCCATTGTTTGCCCCCGTGGGAGTTGTAATCCTGAAGTCATCGCCACCAGCAGCAACTCCATCCGCCGTGCTTGAATCTTTTGTTGGTGTTTTGATAGTAAGAGTGCCATTGTTGGCGGTGCCACCATTGTTGGCTTCTTCCTCATTAGTTGGTGTCTTGATCTCAAGAGTAGCAATGCCACCAACTAAATCCATGTCGCTGGGTGGAGTTTTGACGACGATCGAAAGCCCACCATCTCCAGTGTTGGTGTTGATTAAAAGGCCACCATTGTTTGCAGCATCTCCAGCATTGACGTTGCTTCCAGCAATGGCATTTGCAGCATTGGTATTATCTGTGTTGCCGTCTACATCCATTGCTCCATTAGCAATTGCAACTACAATGATAATTCAAAAGAAAAGATAAAGAAGAAAAGCTGCCTTAGTTTCCATTACAAGAGTGAATGATATCTCTAAGTTGTCTTGATCGTCTGCTTACTCTTCTTCATCATTTGGAGCATCAGACTCTTTCCATTGATATTGGCTTTCGCATCTTCCTCCACGTCTTCGACAGTGCCAACAATGTAGGCCCTCCAGATCACCATGACCTCTGTCGTTTTCTCAACGGTGCCGTCTCCAAGGTCTTTATCAAACTCAAATGGCAAGGGCAGTATCATGAGCTCACCATCAACACAGCCAGGCGAGAAGAACTCATTGCTCAAGTTAATTCCCAGGTGGGCAAAGGTGATTGTTGTTGTTTTCGTGCGATGCTTCTTCTTAATTTTGGTCACCATTCTTTTCATCATTTCACTCAACTTAGATGTGTGAAAGACGTCTTTGTTAGCAACCATCATACCCAACCAATGACTTGCTCCTTTGATCCAACCTTTGGACGTTGCCGGGCCCATGATTTCGATCTTATTGTCAATAATCCTGGCGTCCAAGTGTTCTACCTCCTCAGGGTGGGTTCCAGGACGCGCAATAACGATGGCAGTTGCCTTCTTGTTTCCGATCCTTTCGTCGTTACAGATTCCAACCAAGAACTCTCCATGCGCCTCGGCATTATCCAAATCGACTGGATAGGTTTCATCGTCATCTACAAAAGCAAACAAACTCGAATGTAAGGATCAAGCAATCACATGGTCAAAGCAAGTAGTAGTAGTGGCAAGCAAAAGCACTCACGCTTCTTGGCTACTCCCTTGGAGCGAAGAAATTTAAGTGGGCTTCCGAGGTTTGCTGCTGCCATTTTTGTTGTAATATCTTTGATTGAAGAAGGGTGACAAAGTTGTGGCCGAGGATTGCGTTTCTTAACTGGTGGTGGAGGCGACACAATTGGAAGGTATGACGGCACTTGTGGTGGTGGTGGAGCGTACTGAACCGGTTGCGCTGGTGTTGGTTGGATCAACGGAGTGTTGGTTGGATCAACGTAGTGCTGGTCGCTTGCAGAGGATTGTATTCAACTGTGTCTTCGTCTACCTGCACAAGAGATTCAAGAGGAATGGAGTAATATTGAGTCTTCATGAGCTTGTGGCGTGTCTTTTCAAAGTCTTTTCCCCTCTTCCAACGATCAGCTAAGTACTTGACTCTCAATCGACGCCGTGACCCGGCAACTCCTAGATCAAGAGGGTAACGACCGCAGAGATGACCAAGGATTTTGTTGTCACGACAAATAGCCTTGGGACCGCCATGAGGGTCGAGGACCTTCAACAGAATGACTTTCGTCTTGATATCCAACCCCTCTTTTGGAAGATTGTAGTCACAGTAATAGAGCTCATCCTCCACTTCTTCATCTTTAATCGGCTCATTGGATGCACTCACCTTTGGTTGACACAAATTGTCACTGCCGCAATAATCTGCTGGGAACGGATCTTCAGGGGCTGAATCGAAAAGACTATCTCCTGTGTCTTCGTCCAAACTTGTATGGCGTCGAGATCGTGACCGTGTAGTTGTTGGCATTTGTGAGCTCTTGTGTCAACCAAGTGATGGAATATGGAAGAGGATGGAGGGGTTTGATTCGAATCCAAAATCAGTTTATCATAAAAACCTCCACTCTATTTGAATATTGTCATACATGTCGATCTCGATATCGTCTTAGGCAACTAAGGCAATCTTCCTCAGCAATTGTAACAACCGACAATAACAGTAGCAAACGACAAGGTTGATTGTTGAGTCCCAATCCCAATCCACAAAACAGCCCAGCAACCATGCCTCCGAAAAAGAGATCGGCCACGAACAAGGCCAAGAAGCCCAAGAAGACCAAGAAGCCCAAGGCTCTTGCAACCCTGAATGGTGCTGACTGGGGTACAAGCAATGCCAAACACCAAGTTGTTCAAGATATGATTGATGGGATTATTCCTCATGACAAGAAGCTCGATATCGAGGACGTCTTCAACAGAATGTACAAGGACAATGCGGATTTTGCAAATTTTCCTTGGGACCTCGATCGATACAAAGATCGATTTGAGCGCACTCAGAAGGCTGTTACTAGACTCAAGTGGTCTCGTGAGTATGATATGGAGTGTCTTGCTGAAGCCCGAACTCATTATGGCAATCCAACCCATTATCCAAATGGAAAGCTGATTTGGCAGCCAGGCTCTGACGTTGACAAGGCACTTGAAGCCGATATGGCTGCTGGCAAGCACTTGGAAATGACAACTAGTGAGCTTCGAGACAACAATCCACTCTACCAAGCATTCCCCCAGCGTGTTTTGAGCAAGAAGATTGACCAAAAGAAGGAAGCAGCCAAACCTTATGGCAAAAATCCAATGCAAGTTGCCGATGACAAAGCCAAGAAAAAGAAGAAAGGCAATGGCAACAGGGTCAAAAGCCGCCCAGAACTTAGCCGTGCGGGTCAAGTGGAGGCCTATACTAGTAGCAAGTAATGAGATAATAGTGAAATAGCGGCGGAATGACCATCATTGTCAACTCTTTCTATGGTAATGAAATAGGTTTAAAAATCGCGACTAGCGCGACAAGTGTGCGACAATCGCGACTAAGCGCGACTTGAAATCGCGACTAGCGCGACTAGCGCGAAGTCGCGGGACAAAATCGCGACTAGCGCGACAAGTGTGCGACAATCGCGACTTCAACGGTTTTTATTGGCGAGGCAAGTCGCTAAAGTGACGTCATCGGGGGACTTCCAGTTCAAAGAGGAAATTCTTGCACAAGCACCCCATTGGATGCACGTTTGCGCCGAAAATAACCTCCAATCAACAGTTGAGAACCTTTAACTGTCGTTAGTTTGCAAGGCGGAAAACATCTAAATACCGATGATGCCTGTCTTATTGGACAGTTAAAAAATTCCGATTCTGCTTCCTCTAGAACGAACCGGCAGGTTTTGTATTTGATACCGTGGTCTGTAGTAGTACTGTACAGAGTTCTACACAGACCGGCGGTTACAAATACAAACCAGCCGTTATTCATTCCTAACAAAACGAACCGGTACTTAGGGCCGGCTGTGCCCCATCGGTCTCCGGCCTGACCATCGGGCTGTCGGGCTTGCGCCCTCTCTTAAGCCCTCGGTCAGACCTCCGACCTTGGGTCCCTGCCTTATCCCTAAGTAACCAGGTTCGTTTTTTATAAGAGCGCACCCACACCAAATATGTCATTTTTTATAATCCGCAAACGGTCAGGGTCCGTCCGTCGCTCGTCTATAACTCCTGGCAAAAGCCGCCTTGCACGTCTGACGTCGTGAGTGATTGAATGATACTGTAATGACGCAAACTTGTCAAAGCGAAAGCGCCGACTACAATTACCAGAGAAGAAACAATGAAACCACCATGTCAGCAACAAGCGATCATTGTTGGGTTCATGTCTATGTCAAGGGCAAGAGAAGCGAGGGAGTTCATAGAGTCGTGAAACCAGGACGATTCGGCAATTATTAATAGTGCCTACGCTAATTATGAATCATGACTGAATGGTTGCACGTTTGACAAGCAAGACTTATGCGAGACGATCTCCTAAATAGTCTTTTAAAACTGGTGCGAGTATTTTTAGGCGGTTGCCTAAACGATCGCCTAATTCTTCGAGAAACAACACGATAAATCCTAGCAACAGTATCCTAAATCCAAGCAGTAGCCTAAATAGTCTCCTAATACCGGCAACGGTCGCCTAAACGATTGCCTATTTATAACGGTCGCCTAAACGATCGCCTAATTGTGAGGTCAATAGAACTGTTCAATCGTGAAACCAACCTTACAAATTACCATTGCCGGATCGTCCAGAAAAGTATCAGGGCAATTGGGATGTTGTGGCGGTTTTGCAGTGTGTTTATGAAGTGGCGCCTGATGATCATGGAAACGTTTAAATATGTGGCCTTCGCCCCGGGAACAAAACAGCCGAAGGACGCTGCCAAGGCGGACGCATTGGATAAGGACATGTCGGTCGTTGAAATTAAGACGAAAACTGAGCATGGAGAGGTACCTCGTGAGATTACCTATGGAAATCCCATGCTTGTGGTCATCCCTGGGGCTTCTATTGCGGCAAAGTCCCCTTTGTACTCTACTGTGCAACATCTCTGGGAACCTAAGGGTCAGACATTTAGAGGAGGATATGAAAGCATTCGCCGCACTAAAACACTGTCGCATTACCATTATCTTCTGGAGGAGATAGGTGCATTGCACCCGGGGAACGAACCGGCAGGTTTTGTATTGGTACGGTAGGATTTCTACGTGTTCTACTGAAAACGACCGTTAAATACAAAACCAGCCGTTACTTATGGAATAAGTCATACAAAACCAGCCGTTATCGTTCCATTCGAAACGAACCGGTTACTTAAGGACGTCTGTGCCCCATTGGTCTCCGGCCTGACCGAGGGCTGGTCAGACCTCCGACCTCCGGGTCCCTGCCTGCCCCTTAAGTAGACGGTTCATTTCTAATCACAGCGGACCGACGATGAAAGCCTCAGGAAGATGGCAAGATTTGGTTGCACGACTGAATTGTCCCTTAACTAAGGGACGATTTTCCTAATAAGGGACGATTTAAAGGACGATTTAGGGGACGATTTGGTTAAGGGACGATTTAGGGGACGATTTATTTAAGGGACGATGGTAGGGACGATTCACGACTATCCCCTGGATTAAAGGGACGATTTTGAACTTAAGGGACAATAGAGGGACGTTTTCAAATCATCCCTTATTTAACGTGTAGTTCCCGTAGAAAACTAAGGGATGGTTTTGGACTGTCCCATATATTTAAGGGACGATTTTGGACATAAGGGACAGTGTAGGGACGATTTAGGGGATGATTCCCAATCGTCCCCTAAATCGTCCCTTAGAAGGGACGATTTAGGGGACGATTTTCAGCTTAAGGGACGATTTAGGGGACGATTTGAGATATAGGGGACGATTTAAAGGACGATTGTGATTTAAGAGACGATTCATCCAAGACTAACTTTTCTCGGCATCTTCAGGTCTCAGGTCCAATGCGCTTAGCAACAGAACAGGCCATCCAGACCCAGGAAAGATGAAAGACCTTTTTGGTTGGGCAAATGCTGAAGACGCTCATCAGGCTCACGATTCCAAGACTTGCGCGCCGTCTTATGGAATAGCTGGACAGCCCATTATAGGTCTGGCAAAGGAGAAGGATATCGAAGGACTATCCCTTCAGGAACTCAAGACCGTTAGGAAGGATGGTATGCAGACGGCAGCGGGAAAGGAGGAGCACGACAGAAAGGAGCATGTGAAGGGACTCCTCACCTGCATTGGGTCTACAGCTAAATACTCCTTGAAGAATTTGGCTCTGAATAAGATTCAGGTGGGTCCTGGTCATCAAAACCCTTATGACGTAGCACCAGAGTACATGACCCTTCCTCTAATGAGCTTTGGAAGTTGCAAAGGCTTGGAACCCTGGAGAAGGTTACTGTGTTGCCGTTGTTTGCAAAAGTCCCACTGCCTACCAAGAATACTTGGGAGAACGACCCTACGCTACTCAAAATGGGTACCATGTGGATTATGCAGGAGAGAAGGAACTCAAAGATGTGACAGGGCTCCTTGCTGCTATGGTGAAAGCCCATGCCAAAGTTGCGAATGGGACCCGTGGAGATGACGCTACTATTGTGACGCCGCTCGACTTCATAACTGGCAACGACAAAACAGATATGGAACAACTGCAGGACGAAATACAAGATGGGAAGGTCTCAGTTCCGACCGCGCCTCACAACCTTAAAGGAAAAATTGTTCTGAAAGTGTATGTGTCGAGCAGCCATGATTACAAGATACCAGATCCACTGCTTGTTGCCATGAAGGCAGCCATCAATTGATTCTTTATAACTAATGGCAAGAAACTGCTTCCTGCTTGCGGCAAACCGATGGGCCCAAAAAAAGCTCTGATAGAACAGCTAAATGATGAGCTCTATGAGAAACTTATCGAAGAGTAGCGTCCTCGCTCCTGTGCCCCTTACCATTGGAGTCTCTCGGTCTGCTCGTGTCTCCTTATCGCCGGCAAGTTCTTTTGATGAAGGTTCTGTTTTGTCGCCGGCATATTCTTCTGATGAAGGTTCTGATGAAGCTTGATACTAATATGCAAGAGCGCAGGAGCGACGAGGGGACTACCTTGATTCAAATTGAAAGGATACAAGAACACGAGGGCGCGAGCGAAAGACGCCGTTTGCGTGTTTTAAAGTTGTGGCTAGCACCCTAGCCAAACAAGCCGGAAGAGCTGTAAAGATAAGGATTAGACCACGCACAAGACCTAACAAGTTTAACTAACGAGCAAGGTAACCTTGAATCCAACTAGCTGGGGAATCCAGAATGACTGTTTAAATCTTGTTTCCGGTGACCATTAATTAGGAGCTGATTGAAGCGATTAGGAGCTGATTCGCAGAATTAGGAGCTGATTAGGAGCTCATTTTGAAATCAGCTCCTAAATTTAGCTTTTTGAAATAGGAGCTGATTTTGAAATTTTAAGGGCTTGTTTCAAAATTTAGGAGCTGATTTCAAATCTTTAGGAGCTGATCACTAGTACTTTACTAGTATTTTTAGGAGCTGGTTTTTGAAAAATAGGAGCTGGTTTCAAAATTTAGGAGCTGGTTTTTGAAAAATAGGAGCTGGTTAGCTCCTAACCAGCTCTTAATAGGAGCTGGTTTGAACCAGCTCCTATTAAGAGCTGATTAAGAGCCGGTCGTGGGAGTAAGAGCTGATTAAGAGCTGATTTTCAAAATGACTTTTCGCATTCTGCATTCCCCTGTACGCGCCACTGCACGGAACTTTTTCAAGGACGTCGCCAACAGACTTATCCAACAGAACAACGATAAGGAAAACGCGACGCGTGTCCCTCATCAATACAATGTCAAAATACCGTGAGGTTTCAACAGTATCAGCACCGCAAGTAGCAAGTACAAAGGTCCTTACAATATGACCGAGTCAATAACAATGTGCACCAGAATACTGGACATCGTTGGGTTGGCAGCGTTAGGATCAATTATCCCTTCTGCTCCCGCGGAAAATGCCTCGTCAACCTTTGCCAGCGCCGCCTTTGGGTCATTGAACAGTAGCATCGCCGACCCTCCAAATTGGTCAAAACGCCTTTTGATTTCCTCTTCTAGGATTGGTAGCGTGGATAGTTTAGCGATACCATACGCTTCCTTCAAATCCAATGGCCCCATGTAGAGTTTTTTTTTAGAGAGTTGTGTTGTTGTTGTTGTTTTTGTTGTGTGTTGTTGTTGTTGTTGTTGTTGTTGTTGTTGTTGTTGTTGTGTGTTGTTGTTGTTGTTGTTGTTGTTGTTGTTGTTGTGTTGTTGTTGTTGTTTTTTTGTTGTTGTTGTTGTTGTTGTTGTTGTGTTGTTGTTGTTGTTGTTGTTGTGTTGTTGTTGTTGTTGTTTGTTGTTGTTGTTGTTGTTGTTGTTGTGTTGTTGTTGTTGTTGTTGTTGTTGTTGTTGTTGTTGTTGTTGTTGTTGTGTTGTTGTTGTTGTTGTTGTTGTTGTTGTTGTTGTGATGAGCACCGCTGGTCCCCCGATTGCGATCGTGGACTCGCTAAAGTCTTGCTAGTCACCGCGAGTCGCGGTTTCCACGTCATCGGGGGACTTCCAGGAACATCTCCTCTTTGATGACTTATGATGCGGTCACGGATAAGCAACTTCACGAGAAAAAACGAGAACATGCTAACCGGTGAAAGGACGTG